ACTTTGGGAAGCCACGGTGGGCAGATCACTTGAGGCCAGGAGTTCAAGATCAGCCTGGCCAACATGGTAAAATGCCATCTCTACTAAAAATACAAAAATTAAGTTGGGTGTGGTGGCACGTGCCTGTGATCCCAGCTACTCAGGAGTCTGTGGTACAAGAATTGCGTGAACCTGGTTGCAGAGGTTGCAGTGAGCCTTGATGACACCACTGCACTCCAGCCTAGGCGACAGAGTGAGACTCTGTCTCAAAAAAAAAAAAAAGACCCAAGTTTGGCATGGGTTAATGCTTATAGACAAGGTGGAGAAAGAAATAGTCTGAACCTTAACCTAATTCATTCTTAGGACTGTTTTCTATTTCAGGGAGGGCTAACACTTTAGGAAATTCAACCATTGCCCCACATCCCACCTTACTTAAAAGATCCCATCCCTAGGCCAGGTGTGGTGGTTCGTGCCTGTAATCCCAGCACTTTGGGAGGCTGAGGCGGGCAGATCACAAAGTCAAGAGATTGATACCATTCTGGCCAACATGGCGAAACTCCGTTTCTACTAAAAATACAAAAATTAACTGGGTCTGTTGTGCCCACCTCTAGTCCCAGCTTCTCAGGAAGCTGGGGCAGGATAATCACTTGAACCGAGGAGGTGAAGGCTGCAGTGAGCCAAGACTGCACCACTGTACTCCAAGCCTGGCAACAGAGTGAGACTTGGTCTCAAAAAAAAAAAAAAAAAAAAAAAAAATCTCATCCCAAATTTTCCCAATCAGAAAATCCAGAAGCATTTACATTTACATCAGCTTTAGCCTAGATTTTCCAAAGGGGCTCAGCCTATGTATTGTGGACAGACAGTTCACCATGTATCACTTGGAGCATCTCTAGTCCGTTACAGAGATCTCCTATTACCACTCCTATTACCTATTACCTTTGTCATCTCCTGTCATCATCTCCTATTGATACTGTCAAATCCCAGAAGAAGATGGCTACAAACTCTACAATAAACATTTTGCTTGCAGCAGCATGGGCCCCATAGCTGAGGTATCATTGCCCATGTGTCATGACTGTGTGGCACGGCTGATTGTTCCTCTGTTCCTAGTGGCGCTGAGAAGCTTAGGGCAGGAGAGGACATCCATCCTGCTCTATTGCTTCCCTTCCCAGGGACTCGGTGAACATTTACTTCTCAGCTTGAGTCTTCCCTCCCATGGCCATAATGACTCATTAGGTAAAGATGCTCGAAAAGTATTTGACCCATAAGAACAGAATTCAAGAGTTACCTTGCTACCAGAAGCCAGAGCATAGCCTCCCCCCACCAGAATGACAATCTCCCAGGGCATGGTCTTCTGGAAGTCCTTCCACGTGATGATGGGCTCAGTCCCCAGTGAGCGCTCCCGGTTCTCTCCTGGATTAGAGAGATGTAAAGCCAGATAAGCCCCGATGGGCATGATTTGTGGAGATAGGAGCCTAATTGGTGAGGTGGATGATTTGGGATACTGCTCTGCTATTTGTAGGGGCGGGAATCTGAAGGACCTTGGTAAATCTCGTTGGGAGTATTATTCTGATTTGAGTATTCTTCAGCTAGAGCCACCCCCAACTTCTTCCCTTGAGCCTTCTCTCACCGTCATTCTTTTTCCCAAAGCAGGGCTTCTTTGCTGGAATGAGGAAGAGGAGGAAGCCAAGGAAGACAGAGACTGTGGCATCAGTGCGGTAGCCTTTCCTAGTAAAGAGACAAGCATAGCTGAGGAGAAGGTTCGGGAATTCTCAGGAGTAACACGATGTCTCAGGGCAGTATGTCTGAACACAGTGCCTCTTTTTAGGACTTAGTCTAGAGGTGACATTAACCTTAGTTCTTGCCAGTTGCTGCCACGCTGTCCACAGTGGATTTAATGGGCAATGGTGAATGTCTGGAGGCAGGGCCTGGCTAGAGTAGATGTCTTAGTGTGAATTTGTGAGTCTGTTAATTGGGGCAAGTCCTAGAAGGAGTGATCAGGAGTGGAGTTGGTTAGATAAAGGAGAATAGAAAAGATGAGACCTCTTTCCTATGAAGGCCACACCTCCATGTGCCTTTCTTCTCAAGTGAGAAGTTGGTCTCTTTTCTTTACAGTTGGTACTTTATAGATGTTTTCTCCTTTAACTCTCATAACAACCTATGAACAAGCTCCCAGGGGCTTATGGAATGAGACTAAGTGCAGCACTGGATCCCAACCTCACGCCAGGACTCTGAAGACTGTGTTTTTCCTTCCTGATTTCACACTGCAGCCCCTCCACCCCCACCTCCCGCCACAGTTAAAATGAGTGGATTCCCCAGGGAATGAAATCTTCCTGGCTTCATATCTGCCCCTAAGAGTCTATGAAGGGACACCAGTAGTTCCTGCTCGAATAATTAGGGTGAGGGGGTTCTTAAGGAGGAAATGATATCGCTTACTTTTCAAAGAAAGAATCCCAGCCAGGGACAAAGCCAGGCTCCCGGGTAAACCACAGCACGGTCATCAGGATGAAGAAAAATCCAGTCACCATTTCAGGGTAGCTGTAAAGTAAAACAAAAAGATTCACTCAGGAACTGAGAAATTTCTTCTAGCTTTTTAACTTTGCTTCTGGAAGCTTCTGTATTTAGAGTTTCAATACCCAAGACATAAAACACACTCACTGTCTAACCACTATGAGTGGCTGACAGTGAAAGGAGAAGACTGAGTGGTCCCAGAAAACATGACATTAACCATGTTCCCTGGAGAAACTTCAGTGGAAAGGGCAAGAGAACACAGCACTGTACATTTCTAAAATAATTTCAAATACAGCCTACCAGGAGAATGCAGTGAAATAGGCACCCCCAAACACTGTGCTGGTGGGAGTAGGAATTGCTACAACCTTTTTGAGGCCATTTGATGATACACATCAGAAGCTTTAAAGTTGGTCATTCCCATCATCTAACCAGAAATGCATACTAAGACATTCATTACCTATTACAAAATGGAGGCATCCTCTATAGCCAGTGATATTTTGTGACACTGAACACATTTTGTATTCAGTGTTAAAATGAGATGCATCCTGATAAACCCATTTCCACAGCAGAGTTAAGGACATGGGCACATGCTGTACTGACAGTACAGTATTCAGCAGTGAAAGCCAAGGTATACGATGGCTTCAATATGGACTGAATTTTACCAAAAATACATAGAGCTTTGCACAAAAAAGCATGGAAAGAAGTCTTCACATTTGTTAACATGGGGTGCTAAGAATCCAGTCAGTTTTAATTTTTTTTCTTACACTGTCTTATATTTTCGAAATGTTCTACAATGAACGTGTATTCCTTTTATAACTTAAAGCTTTAAACAAGACGGTGTCTACCTGGATTGTTTTATGCAAAGTTGTGCCAATTGCCATAAAAGGAGAAATAGCACTAAATAGGAAGCTGGGTCCCTCCCTGTGGAAAATCTAATAGAAGCGGCTGAGGGTTGGTTAGTGATTTCTTGGACCCTGTGTCTCCAAGTCTGACTTTGATACTGCGTTAAGCCCTAAATATGGCACAGATTCTCCCCTCTCTTTGGGAGTGACAACTGGACCACTTTGGTGGCGTGTCTGAGCAATGAGAGGAGGCCTGGCTTCGGAAGGAATTCACTTGTTCCAAGAGGATGGCTGTGTTGTCTTTCTCTTCTTCTGCCTCCGTCTGCCCCATGGTCAGCACTCCACCCTATCCCACAGCTATACCGTGGACTCTGAATAGAGCAAAGGGGAAGGGTGGCCACCTGAAATCGGGGCCAGCTTGGCTTTGGCATTAAATAGCATCTTCTAAATGCCTGATTCATAGTTGTGGAAAATTCTCCCAGCATCAGGGACTGTCAAGAACAAGGCTGGTTCTGTGTTCACTTTACCTGCTGTGTTTCTGCTGGAGGAGGAGAGAAGGGGAATGGCTGATGTTTACCTAATGTCTCCCAGCTTTTCATACTCTTCTTGGATCCTCTTCTCTGACATCTGTTCCCTTTTGGTCTTCTTCTTCTTGCTCAGAGAGCAGGTCTCTTTAAAACTGAGAAGGGAGAATGAGCAAATGATGAAAGAAAACACACTTCCGAGGATCAAATACTAAGCAAACACTAAACTATTTGCCTGCTGTGGTCACTTTTCTCCTCTTTCACATGCTCTGTCCCTCTATCCCCCACCTATTCATGCAGCTTTTATTTGCCACGTTATCTGGCCTCTCATCGACCTTCTCCCCTAGCCTGTTGAGAATATCCAGCTGGGTCTGTAGTATATTACCAGATGTGAAGTGATGTCTCAGGGACTTGTGCAAGTGTATTTGTGTGGGGTTGTTTCTACCTACTGTCTTTTACATAAGTGAAAAATTAGTGTAATGTGGTATATGTGTCTAGATGTATAAACTAACACTTTTACTCCATTACGTGTCTAGATATGTAACTTTTTTTACTCCAGATAAGCTTTGTCTCTAGACAAACACACAAATATCTGTGTATATGGAACACAGTGTTTGTTTTATATCGGCAATACTGGAGTTAAGAAGTATATAGCCATCATTGGTTTGACAACAGTGTGAGTAAAAAGAAGTCAGAGGACAAGTCTTGACCAATGGGAGCATTGGGTTATACGGACTAATAGCAAAACGTTATGTTATCTTCCCTTATGTGTTTGAAACTGATCAAAGTTGGAGTAGACTGACTTGTTATTTTGAGGCATATGAGCATATTTTATTCAGGCTACTAAGTATAAATCACCCATGCCTATAAAGTTAAACCTAATGCAAATTCTACTTGGAGCCATATTTTTTATTTCATCTTTCTTGGAGTAATTGGAAGTACTCTATATGCCTTGAGAGCAATAAAACGTCGCTAAATGCTCTCCATGTCAGATTTTGTATAAGTTGGACAGGCTGTCTAACCATTTAGTTGGAATTGAGAACATTTCACTGTAGAGCTGAGAGTGAAGTTCAGAGTTCACAGATGTTTTGAATGTCTAGAAGAGACAGCGCCTGACTCTCAGTCCCGTCCACTGCATTCTCCTCAGGCATCCTCTGTGGTTATTTGACCTTTGGATCGACAGGAGGTCCTCAGTGCTTTGCTGGAAGGGCCCTGAGACTCACTTGCAGCCCAGGAACAGCCAGTGCATCCAGAACCAGCTGACCACCAGCATGATGAGGGATATGGGGAAGCTGAAGAGGAACCAGGTGCCGAAGTTCACCACGTCTGCGGCTGGATACTGGCTGGAGGGCAAAGAACCAGGTCAGCAATTACAAAAGGGAGGGTTTCCATGTGGTATTTCGGGGTAATACGTCAAATGCGCCCTAAAAAATACAGCTGGGCTAAGTGGGGAGATACATTATGATATGGTAAAACACTAGTTGACAGTTGCAATTGTACAGAGCCCAGACAAGAATCATGAAGTTAGCTAAAATAAAGCCATCCAAACAACTAAAATGCATATCACTAAATTCATATCACTAAAGTGTATGTACTTTACACTCAAGAGAATGGCTCAGGACCCTCAGGACCTATTTGCCCTTAAAGATTTTGCTAAGTTTATTCATCTGGTTTTCAAGACAGCAGGATATGGAGCAGCTTGGTGTACTTTGTTTCTAAAAATCACCGAAGAAATGTAAGTGTTCATTGGGGAGCACAACTCCGGAGCATTTGGAGCTCTGGCGCCTAACGAAGTTTTTACATAATAACGGTGCCCATAAAAGAAGCAGGACTTGGAATCTCCAAATCTTTATCAACATCCACTGGTCTTGGGTAGAGGGGATTTGCACGGGGAACTGCTCCCTCATCAGCAGGCGGAGCTGTGGCCCCCAGCCCAGGTGTTTCCTGTTGAGCCTGGATGGACCACACGTGAGCCATGGCTTTGTCTAGACAAGGCTCAGGCCAAATGACCTATGTTGGATTTTCCTTGGGTCTCTGTTTTTGGGGCTGGGCATAAAACTCTTCAAGGTGTGAGACATCCCTCTATCAATGACCCCTTCTCCCAAATCTTTAATTTTCCTCTCATCTGGACCATCCCTACCAGCATTTAAATGTCGCCCATCTCCATCTTCAAGATGGTCCAGATGAGAGGAAAGAGACCCTGCCTTACTTTCCTTTTGCTTATATTTATTTTTGAGATGCAGTCTCACTCTGTTGCCCAGGCTGGAATGCAGTGGTGTGATCTCGGCTCACTGCAACCTCCGCCTCCTGGGTTCAAGCGATTCTCCTGCCTCAGCCTCCCGAGTAGCTGGGATCACAGGCACCCACCACCATGCCCGGCTAATATTTGTATTTTTAGTAGAGACGAGGTTTTGCCTTGTTGGCCAGGATGGTTTCAAACTCCCGAACTCAGGTTGTCTGCCTGCCTCGGCCTCCCAAAGTGCTGGGTTTACAGGTGTGAGCCACAGTGCGTGAGCCACAGTGCCCGGCCCTTACTTCCCTTTCATTATCATCCCACGTCTCACCTTCCCTTCATAGTCAGATCTCCATTTTCTCACCTCCATCTTAGTCCTCAGCTCACCAGAATCTGGCTGTTTCTCCCACGAATTGACTGAGGTCCTCTTGTCTACATCACCAGTAACCTCCATGTCACAAATCTAATGGATATGTTTTCATCCTCACGTTGAGTCATCATTCATTGATATTTAATATCGTAGGCACTTCCTTTTTCTGGAAACACTTTCCTCCCTTGGGTAGACTGACACCAGATTTCCCTGGATTTCCTCTTTGCTATCTGATACTGTTTCCTTCTGTGTGTTAAATACGTGAGCTTAATATTTATGTCCCCTGTTCTCCTTACTCTATCATTCTAAGTAATCTCCTCCACCCCTGTAGCTTCCCTTACCAGGAGACAAAATGAATATGTGGCCCCTTTACTCAGAGGTTATTATGAATATCCAAGTAGGGATAGCAGAGCATTAAACCAAGTCTGAAGCCTGTCTGGGCATGGTGGCCCTGTGTTCCTGTACAGGCTGCACGCCCGTGACCCCAGCCCTGCAGGCTGCTCACTCCAAATCTATGCCTTCAGCCTAAACATGAATATTTCTCTTGAGATTCACAGGTCTGTTTCCAGCTGGACATCTCAGCCTCTATGCCAGTTTTTCCAAGGCCCCATTCCTCCTCTTCTCCCTCTATTCCTTCACCTGCAGAGGGCAAGAGCCTGAGAGGCAGACGCAGCCTTTCCCTCTCTCAGGCCCTGTCTAACCTTCCCGAGACCCAGCAAGTGACATCTGAGCTTCTCTTAAAGCTGACCGTTCCTCCTCCCCACTGCGCTGTCAGCCAAGCCGCCGGCTGCCCTGGACCACTGTGCAGCAGTGTCCCGAACCGCCTTCCTGCTGTCTGCTTTCTCCTTTCCAATCTGCTCTCCTTTTTTTTTTTTTTTTTTTTTTTTTCATCCAGAATGAGTTTTCAAAACTATAAATCTGATCACCTCACTCCCTGCTTAAAATTCTTTAAAAGCATCTCAGAGCCTTTCAGATGTGGTCCAAGTTCCTCAGTGGGTCTTGCCAAGCCCTGGAGATCTGCCTGTCCAGCTCCCTGGCCTCCTCTTACCCTCTGTGCCCTGCTGTCCTGCCTCGGAGCCCTCCTACGCACTGTTTTCTTTGTCTGGATAATCTCCCTTCATCTACTTTACTCTCATCCTTCAGGTTTCCACATGGTCGCCTCTTTGGGGAGGCATTTCCTCTCTACAGATGAGCGAGCTCCCCAAGCAGGGCTCTCCCTGCAGAGTCCTGGACTTCTCCAGTCTCAATTAGCTATAATGACTTGATTTTTCCTGTTTTTTTTTTTCTTTTTTAAATTTTTATTTATTTATTTTTTGAGATAGAGTCTCACTGTCACCTAGGCTGGAGTGCAGTGGTGCAATCTTGGCTCACCGCAATCTCCACCTCCTGGATTCAAGCAATTCTCCTGCCTCAGCCTCCTGAGTAGTTGGGATTACAGGTGCCCTCCACCATTCCAGGTTAATTTTTGTATTTTTAGTAGAGATGGGTTTTCACCATGTATCCAGGCTGGTCTTGAACTCCTGACCTCAACTGATTCACCCGCCTTGGCCTCCCAGAGTGCTGGGATTATAGGCATGAGCCACTGCACAGGGCCTTTTTTTTTTTCAAATAGAGACATTGTCTTGTTCTGTCGCCCAAGCTGGAGTGCAATGGTGGGATCGTGGCTCACTGTAACCTCAAATTCCTGGGCTCTGTGATTCTCCTGCCTCAACCTCCTGAGTAGCTGGGACTACAGGTGCGTGTCACCATGCTTGGCTAATTTTTTAATGTTTTCTAGAGACAGGATCTCACTATGTTGCTCAGGCTGTTCTCAAACTCCTGGGCTCAAGCAATCCTCCTGCTTCGGCTGCCCGAAGTGCTGGTATTACACGCCACTGTGCCCAGCCAGTTTTTCCCTCTTTCTACGGAAACTCTTCTAGTCTCATTTTCTACCATATCTCTAGCACCTAGTCCAGTTCCTGACACACAGCGGTGGTTAGTCAATATTTGTTGACCGAGTGAATCACTTACTTGTTGAAGTGTTCCAGGAAGATGAGGCTGGTGGAGGTGCCGATGATGGTGGTCAGCCCACCAATGGTAGCAGAGTAGGAGATGCTCAGGGAAAGGCACTTGCAGATCATTTGGTCATGGTGGGACCCGTACTTTCTGTTCAGCTTCTGCTTCCTGGGGCTGGGGGTCAGGACTTGTGGCTTTTCCTACCAAAGGAAAATCAGCCAATCTCTCCAACCCAGCTCGGGCTGTCTGGCCAAAGCAGGAGAGGCAGGAGGCACCATGGTACAATGGAAAGGTTTTAAGCTTGGGTGTCAGAAAGACAAATCCCAGTTTCTACCATTTATCAACTTGGGCATGAGTCTGAACTACAGTTTCTTCTTCTGTAAAATGGAGGAAACCACATTTTCTCTGCCAAATTGTTGTGAAGAGTAAATGAAGTAATAGATGCAAAGTGCTTACACTTCCTGGCATTTAATGAATAGTAGGCTGTTATTATTTTTATTAATGTTATTTTGATGGCATGATTTTTTAAATTTGAACTCCAGTAAAACCGGTGTCCCTAACATTGTGTTTGAATAACAGACACTATTCCTGTAGAGTTAGAATGACAGGATTTGGCCTTCCCCTCAGGCCCTTTCTAATCCTGCCAAGACCCATCAAGCTACCTCTGAATATCTCTCAAATCTGACCATTAAAGTCCATCAAGCCCTGATGAAGAGATGACTAAACCATACACCTGGATTACATAAAACCCTCATCTTCACTGGGAAGAGGGTTGAAGTGTGATTCTTTCCTCCTTCCCTGACTTTTCCTCTCAACCTTTTTCTTCTCCCTTGCATACAAACTGCGGCTTTGCTGTGGTCCTCTCTGGCCCTGCTTAGTCCAGATGACAGGCTTTCATGTTGGAGAGGTTGCTGAACTCTGGTCTCAAGCATCGCCTGAAGAAGCAAGTCCCTCCTGTTCCCTTCACACCTGGCCACCCTCACTGATTCTTCATGAGACGAGGAAAGTCCTGGTGCAAATGTCAGCAAGTCAGGTCATGAAACAACCAGTGGGGAAGAGGCCACCTTGCCGTATTTCCCAAAGCCCTTTCCCACTGCCCTGTCTTCCTAAGCGGGGTTGAAGTATGGCTGGACCCTTCCAGGTCTCTAAAAGATCCACTGATTATCAAAGCTGGAACAGACCTCAAAAATTCTTTGGTCCAGTGGTTTTCCACAATCCTTTCTTCCAGTCAAATTTTACACAGAATAGTATTATAAGTGCAGCAATTGGATACATCTGCTGTTTTTTTTTTTCTTTTTTTTTCTTTTCCTGAGACAGGGTTTCACTCTGTTGACCAGGCTAGAGTGCAGTGGTGCCATCATAGCTCACTGCAGCCCTGACCTCCTGGGCTCAAGTGGTCCTCCCACCTCAGCCTCCTGAGTAGCTGGGACTACAGGCATGCACCACCATGCCAGCGAATTTTTAAAAGTTTTAGTAGAGGCATGGTCTGGCTGTGTTTCCCAGGCTGGTCTTGAATTCCTGAGCTCAAGTGATCCTCCTGCCTTGGCCTCCCAAAGTGCTGAGATTACATGTGTGAGCCACCACGCCTGACTGGCATACATCCAATTTTGTAATTGGAAGCATATTGAAGGGTTAATTGCATGTGATCAAGGAGACTTGGATTTGAATCAGAATGCTCCCCTACCTAGTTCCTTGGCCTTGGGTTATGATTTCATCTCTGCCTTGTTTGCAAAAATGGAGCTCAAAATCACCACCTCACTGAGCCAAGACCAGAGAAAAAATACTGAGTGCAGTGATTGGTACATAATAAGCATTTAATAAATGGTGGCAGTTATTTATGATGATGGACATTAAACATGTGAGACTGTTTTGATGAACACAGACATTTGAAATCAAGGGTCATAAGTGACAGTTGATATTTTATATAAGCCTTAACATTCATGCATTTGACATCTGCATTTTGTTTCAGTGGAATCATGCCAGGAAGCCCATTATTCGTTCAGTTGCCTTACAATCTTAGGATACTCAAATAAAATATTTGCAGTGTCCCTGAAGCATCTTTGAAGGCGGGTTTGAGGACCTCTGATCTACATCAACCCCCAGCTTTTCTAGTTGAAGACACGGGGGCTCAGGCATTGGACTGCTTTGCTACAGTCAAGTGAATTTGATGTCTCATCTCCATGGTGCACACAGGCCAGATATGTATGTGGGTCGTGAGTGCCTGGTCACAGCTCACTAGCCTGACTCCCTTATGACCTCAAGACCCTTGGAAAGCAGCTCACAGCGTTTTATGTAGGAAACAGGTCCAGAAGGGGCCATTCTATTACCTGGGATGGGTGTTGCTTCTTGTCCTGGTGTTGGTTTGTGGCTTTGATGGGGTTGGTGATCGAGGGCACACCATTCAGGTTCTGTTGGGACAAAGGCCAGCTCACTGTTAGGAAGAGGGGCTGGTGAGCCAGGTGCCTTGAGAAGGACCACCTAGTCATCCCAGGGCCACCCCATGGCTCAGCACTGTGGGAAGAGAGGCCAGGGGGAGCATGCAGGGCAGAGCACCTCAGCCAGGCCTGCCCCGCGGCACAGCTTCCCGCCCAGCCTGGCATCAAGCTCTCCACTTGAAGAGGCTTCTAAACTAGCTAGAACATGGCTGTCCCTTAGAGGAGAACCAGCCTTTCAGGACTTTATTAGCTAATGAAGAACCCTTTATTTATAAGATGAAAAAAATAAAAGAAAATGAAAACAAACCCCACCATAACCAAGTTCCCAGTTTTTGGTTTGTTTGTTTTTAGAGACAGGGTCTCACTATGTTGTCCAGGCTGGGCTCAAATTCCTGGGCCACAGCGATCCTTCTGCCTCAGCCTTCTCAGTAGCTAGAACTATATGGGCACACCACTGTGCCCAGCTGAAGTCCACCATTTTACTGGCCTTTTACACCTCTCATGAAAAGGTGTAAAACCAGACTTGGGGGAGTGAGGTAAGTTCGAGTAGCTGTATGCAGGTAAACTCTGCTTTCCCCTATAAATGTGTCCTTTTTATTTTATTTTTTGAGATGGGGGTCTTGCTCTGTTGCCCAGGCTGGAGTGCAGTGGCATGATCTGGGCTCACTGCAACTTCTGCCTCCCTGGTTCAAGTGCGTCTCCTACCTTAGCCTCCTGAGTAGCTGGGATTACAGGTGCATGCCCCCACTCCTGGCTAATTGTTATATTTTTAGTAGAGGCAGGGTTTCACCATGTTAGCCAGGCTGGTCTTGAACTCCTGACCTCAAGTGATCCTCCCACCTTGGCCTCTCTAAGTGCTGGGTTTACAGGCGTGAGCCACCACGCCCAGCCAATGTGTCCTTTTTAATAATAACATTTTGTCAATGGAATCCTCACTGAAAGGAACTCTAAGGTTGATCTGTGGCTGTTGAAAATCTGGATGGCTAAATCTTGGGTTTCCATGAAGAAGTGCTGAGGGATTTTCAAGTGATTCCAAAGCACAGAAAAACCCCAAGGCCATACCTTGTTGTGCATCAGAGTGGTGTGGTCTGCGGTGGACCTGCTGGAACCAAGCAGAGGACATGGGAGCCACATCAGTGAGACTGACTCCTGGGAGGGGAGGTCCCCCTGCATTAGGTGTTTGGTGTAAGGGACTTAAACTCTCTGGACTCCAGTTTTCTGGCCTCCATAGAAGACTAATCTCATCCTAGTCTTCCTTGCCTTCTAAGATGCTGCAAAGATTTGTGGGGGAGGGGCAGCACTTCCCTTTGATATTAACAATCCTCCTAATAGCAGACTTGGAGTGGTTATTAATACAGAGTCTTATGTATGGGCTTGAACCCCCAGACATTGTTAATCCTCATTACAGAACTATGGTCCTGGCATTCCTACCTCCATTCACGCCAGTACTTAACACCGGGATGCTAAGTGGTGGAGGAAGGTAGGCATCCAGGCGTCTGTCTCTCTGGAGAGCCTATGCCCTCTGACCATGTCCTCACTGGCTGACTCTGGGAAGACCACTATCTAGAAAAGGGAACTTGTGATACGGGTATCTGAGGTGACAGGAGCACAGGGTCCTAGACTGTACCTAGGGACAGGCAAGGGAGAAGGAGAGGATGGGGGAGGAGGAGAACTTCTGATCAGCAAGTGTACCTCAGGGGGTGAGTCTCTCCTACCCCTCTGGTCCCCAACCTTTGCCTTGAGGACAGAAGAAGATGAGACCTTAGCCATCAGTGTAAGTGACACACTGAGTGATCAGTGAATGTTTCCAGTTTGTCTTAGTTGTGAGGACAAGTGAGTGCCACCAGCTTGGCCACTATGAAGATAGAGCGTCCTGGGCACTCCCAGGCGGGGTGTGAGCCTGCAGTCACGGCCCATCTCCAGGCTGTCAGGGAGGGAGACGCTGACAGGCGTGCGGAGTAAAGTGTTTGGAGTGAGTTCTTAGCCTGGAAACAGAATGTGCTGTGATGCTTCCCCTCCCTCTTCCCAAACTGAGTGAGGAGGGCAGGCAGGGACCCTCAGGTAGCACGGGAGGCGGTGGCTGCAAGAGTGCTGTCTGCACACCCAGCAAACACCCCAGTTCCCACCAGCACAAAGGATGCTTAGAGTTCTAGGACAATTGAGGCTTTTCTTTTGGAGTTTGGGGACACATTTTTGTGTGGAAAAGGGCAAAGGCAGGTTGATGCCAGCAGGGTGATGCCAGAGAGGCCACAGGGAGGAGAAAAGGCCACACAGTGAGGATGGGCTTTTCTTGGGTCATCTGGGAAAGGCCTGCCCAGAGGCAGAGGCAGCCCCAACACAGGGGCTGTGGGGGAGTGAACCCCCAGAGCACAGGCCCAGGAGGGTGGCGTGAGCGTTAATCCGTGAGCACGGTCCTGCCATCAGGCCTGGGGCCCTGCAGAGGGCGCCACAAGGGGATGCTCCAAAGCCCCTGAAGGCAGTTGCCCCACAGACAAGACCAGGGACTGAAATCTCAGACAGGGCACCAACCCCAGACCGCCGCAGTCCCCCAGCCAGACCCTTCTCACCCCTTTATCTTTCTTGTACCCTACAGCTGCTGTCCTAAGCTGGGAAAAGTCAGAAGCAGCAGAGTGAGGGCAGTGGGTAGGGGAGGAGGAGAAGAGGGAGGTGGAGGAAGAGAGAAAGCAGCTCAACTCCCTCCTTCACTTACTTTTACCTTCGTTCTTCTGCAGGCCTAGGCTGAGGGGTGGGTGGGTGTGGGAGAAGCTTTGGGTGAGAGGTTGAAGTTTTGATATGAATCAGTCTCCCAAATGTCTAAACATGAGATTGTTATGATACCTGAAAGGAGCCAGGAGAGCTACAGGGTTTGCCTGAGATCCCATCAAGGGTGATGTCATCAAGAAATCCAATATGCTATGATTGAAGACAGTGGTGGAGAAAAATAAAGTGATTTCTTGATGGCACCCTTCTGCGTCTGTCCCTCTGCGAATGCTGGTTTCACTCAATGTACGTTCTCCACTTTTTAGAAAGGCAAGTGACAGAGCTGAGCCGTATTACAAATCCAGCTTTTAAGTGTGGACTATTCATTGCAGCATGCCTGCAGACCACATTTTGAAATAGAATCTCCAAATGGAATCAGCTGTTAATGGAGCTTCCTCCCGGGAGTGTCTGAGGCTGTTTCTCCTTTTCCAGCTCTGCTTCTTATCATCGAATGGCCCTCTCACCTCCTGTCCCCTTATCCCCTACCTGCCATCTACATTTTGTTTGCCATCTCTAACAAGACCAAATCTACTAAGATCTTATATCTAGAAAGTATTTCATGATTCTCCAAGAATCTGCAGTGACTTCGATGTGTGAACAGTTTTCCATTAACAAATTAAACATATTTTTCTAAAAGGGACCTGAATTTAGATGTGATTCTATGTGGTGGATGTGTGGACATTTTATATATCCACGGAGACTCAGTGTGGCCTTTTTATTTCTTCCTCATTACCGCAACACTGTGGTTAAGGCAGTGACCCTCCAGGTCCTGACAGGGGGCTCCTAGGTATGAAGAGGCAATGGGAGAGGTGGGGGTGCCAAGGTGGTGAGCTTGGGCTGGACATCTCAAAGAGCTGTTCATGGGTCCAGGTCCCATCTTTTCTGACCTCCCCAGTGGACTCTGAGAGGCTGTGTCTTGGAAGAGGGCAGTCATACTCACTCTTCATTGACAAAGATGAGCTCCAGAGCAGGTTGGGTGTTGTTTACATCCAGACCTACAAGTAGCAAAGAAAAGCAGGAAGTGAGAGGTGGAGGCTGGGACGGACCCTGTGGGTTGAAGCATAGCTCAAGGGCTCAGGGTGGGGGTGGGGGCATATGGAGTGGGTGCTATTTCTCCTTCCCTTTGCTCTGTAGCTAGAGTGGGGCTCATGGATGTGGACTGGTCCCAGGGTTTTGTAGTGACCCTTGAACATTTGGGGGCAAAGAACCCATAAGTGAAGGGGAAGGCAGAGCCAGAACAGGGGTTTCAGGGAAGCTTCAGAGTCCAAGAGCTGGGATGGGAAAGAGGGGAGAGGGAAGAGAATGGGAAAGGTGGGGGGCATGGCTGAGGGGGTCCTGGGGTGGGCACCACACTGGGCAGTCTCCCGAGAGGAGCCAGGCAGGAGGACCCCGGGGGAGGTTGGAGGAGCAAAGGACAGATGAACTCCAGCAAACAGTACTGATGGGCTCGGCCTCTTCGATGCTGGAGTTGCCCGCCACGAGCTGCTCGTCCTCAGCACTGACCAGCTCCTGCAGCACGGCCTCCACGATGGGCATCACCATGGCGGTGGTGGAGGTGTTGGACAGCCACATGGACAGCAACGTGGTGCAGCACATGAAGCAGAGCAGCAGCCTGCAAGGGAGGGAGGGCTGGGGCAGAGCATCCATGGAACACGCATCCTGTGGCCCCACAGCGAGCCTCACAGAGCTCCTCCGGGTCCTCCTACCGACCTGCTGGGGCTGGTCTAGACAACAGTGGCGGGAAGGGCTGGCATGGGTCCTGCAGGGCACCATTCAGCTCTGTACTCCCAGAGCTTGCCACAGAGTAAGTGTTAAATCAATACTTGCTGAATGAATGAATCACGCTTCATGGACTAGTGGCCTTAGCCAGAAAAAAGCCCTTAGTGAAGCAAAGAATAGCTCTGGTCATAGGGCCACAGGGTGTAGACTTACTGTCGCTTTTCTGTCTCTGCAGACATTGGCTGGAGCTTGGTGGTGATGTGTGTTTGTGTGTGGAAGGGGATACTTTGCTCGCCGTCGCAGCCAGCGATTCTGTGAGTACCATGGCACTCCTTGCTTTGCTGCCAAGTCACCATAGTTATCAGTGACCCAATAGAGGTGAATGTTTGGAGCGCACAGTTCTTCCCACTACCTGTCAACATGCTGAGGGGCCAGCCCCCAAAGTCACAGAAGTGTTCCTTATCACTGCGTGTGTGCACTTTTCCAGCTGACATCTTGAACAGTCAACACTTGGAGAAAAACACAAACAAGGGTAACCCTCCAGTGATTTCTCTTTGGCTTTGAGAACATTGTGCCCTGTGTGCCTGTACAGACATGTCCTAGTTTCCATAAGATAAGCCAGCAGAGAGACTGCCGTGTTTATTATTTTAGGTAGAATTACTAACTTTGCACAATCTGGGGACAGTATGTTTATCACATGGACTCAGTCAGCTGCTAGCGACATGACTTTGCCGAATCTGCACACACACGGCTAACAGTGCCTCGGGGGGTGGCAACTTGCTGACTGGTAAATACGGAGTAGAAATGTGAGAGGTTAAAAATTCTTGCAGAGGCTGGGCGTGGTGGCTCACGCCTGTAATCCCAGCACTTCGGGAGGCCGAGGCAGGCAGAACACCCGAAGTTGGGAGTTGGAGACCGGCCTGACCAACATGGAGAAACCCTGTCTCTGCTAAAAAATACAAAATTAGCCGGGCATAGTGGCACATGCCTATAATTCCAGCTGCTTGGGAGGCTGAGGCAGGAGAATGGCTTGAACCCAGGAGGCGGAGGTTGCGGTGAGCCAAGATGGTGCCATTGCACTCCAGCCTGGGCAACAAGAGCCAAACTCTGTCTAAAAATAAATTTTTTTTTTTTTTTTTTCAGATAGGACACAGAGATTTTAAAGAGCCACAGAGTCTCCATATGACGTGACAAAATGCCACTGTATGCTTGGGAGGTTGAGTGTAGGTACAAGCTTATTACTGAGCTAGGGGGTGGATGAAGCTGTAGCTGGCAGACCTGTTTGACAATCTGCAAGACAGGAACATGCTTTGAAGTGTAACCTATAGTTGTCTGACTCATGTTGAGAACCAATGCTATGTTATTTATTTATATTCTTGGTGACTCCCATAGGAGTCAGGGCAGCTTACATAAAATATAGCAAGAAAGTTGTAAACTAGAAGGAGGGAGCAGGATATTCCAAAAGGGGAGGTACCGGCAGGTGATCCAAATGGAGCAGCAGTGGAGCTAACACAAAACTCAGCCTTGACACTGCATCACATTCCCCGAGGGTGGGATGCCCCGCAGCATCACAGTCAGATGCTGGGTCTTTAACTAGTTCTGTGGTCTGAACTGATGACAGAAACTCAGGGTGGATGGGAGGAAACATTCACGTTTCCTTCCATGACAAAGGAGAAGCTGGCCATTTCTGGCCCAGCCTGTTCCCTGATACACAGGAAACAGGTTGGGAAACAATTTCTATTGGTCCATCCTGTTTTACCTAATGGGCCCCTGTATGATGTAAGCTGCTGCCCTTGCAGCCTAGGTCAATGGGTGAGTTTTTTGGATAACGACAGCAAGATCACAGATTCAGATTTCTATTCCATGGTCACAGACCCTCTCCCTGGAGGGGAAGTGGGGGTCCTGGGCTCTGGTGTCAGCCCATCCCTGTTCGTAAAAAAGCAGGCTGAAGTGGACGTCCCACAGTGACCTAAGACCACTGTCCTGGTGGCACACTGGAAGCTAGAAGGATGCCCTATAGCCTGGCATCCCAAATGAGACTTACATGCCCGGCTTGGCTCCGGCCATCAAGACCATGCGCAGAGCAATGCGCTTATGCAGGTTCCACTTCTCCACGGCAGCTGCCACGCAGATGACCCCCACCAGCAGCAGCGTGGTGTTCTTGAAATACTCCGCCGCCACCTGCAGAGAGGTCAGGCAGGTCAGCCACCCTCCCAGAGCCAGGACCCAGGGCCCAGCACCGGCGGGGAGAATGGGCCATGCCACATAAAACCTGTTCTCAATCAAAGAGGCTGGTGAAGAGGAAGCAGGGAGGTGGGGATTATTGAAACAGCCAACCATCCTAGAGTGGTATCTACTAAACACTCACTGTGGGCAGGCACTGTGCTAACTAAGCACTTTACAGATTATTTCATTCAAGCCAGCCAGTAACTCCACAGGACAGATATTCTTCTCCACTTTGGTAAACATTAGACCACTGTATTTAAATTTGATGTGAATATGATTTTAAAGAATAAACACATATAATTTTATATTGATCTTCTAAAATTATTAAAATAACCCCAGGCTCCTCCCCAAACCTCATTTTTAATATTTTTAGAAAATATTAGAAAATTATGTTCATTTCTATTAGAAAATTAATACATGTTCAGTATGGAAAACTTCAAAATATAGAAAAATTTAAAGACAAAATTACCCTTACTCATGCCACTGTTGATACTTATATACTACTGTTAAATACCTGTAGTTTCTTCCATTTTTCCTGTATCTATATAGATATATAAATGGATTTATACAGTATGTATACTTTTCTATCTTGCCTTTTTTCATTCAACATCATATCCTCATCATTTTTTTTCTTTGAGACAGAGTCTTGCTTAATTTTAAAATTTTTAAATAATTCCCAATTATTCTGAAGTTCCAGTGAATTCCAAAAATGAAAATAGTACAAGGAACACCTATACACTACCTTTTTTTTTTTTCCCTGAACCATTTGAGGGTAAGTTACATACATTTTGGCTGGTCCTTTACCCGAAGTACTTCAGTGTATATTTTGTTTTTTTTTTAAATATATTTTTTTGAGACGGAGTTTTGCTCCAGAAGGCTGGGTGCAGTGCTGACGTCTCAGCTTCTGCTTTCAAGCCATTCTCCTGCCTCAGCCTCCTGAGTAGCTGGGATCACAGGCGCCTGCCACTACGCCCGGCTAATTTTTGTATTTTTAGTTGCAACAGATTTCACCATGTTGACCAGGCTGGTCAAACTCCTGACCTTGTAATCTGCCCACCTCGGCCTCCTAAAGTGCTGAGATTACAGGTGTAAGCCACTGCACCCGGTCTTTTAAAAAAAAAAAAAAAAAAAAAAAAAAAAAACTGAGACAGGGTCTCACTCTGTTGCCCAGGCTGGAGTGCAGTGGCATGATCACGGCTCACTGCAGCCTTAACCTCCCAGGCTCAGGGTGTATTTTCTAAGAATAGGGATTTTCTTTTCCTTACTAGCCACAGTAGCAGTTATAAACTCCTTTCTACTTTTTAACCGAATCATGGGGCAGTTGAGACACAGCGCAGTTAAAAAGACGTTTCATATGTTTGAGGTTCATGGCCCAAATCTTTGTTGATTCTCTCACTTGGAACGTTCTCTCTTTCCACCTCTACCTGTACATTCCAATCAGACTTTGAAGCCAGGTTCAGGCCTGGCACACTCCAGAAAAACCTTGCTTGTGGCCCTTGCCTCTGACTCCAGAACATTCCTCCTGGGCACCATTAATTCCGCACACCACAAGCACTTGGAGCATTACTTGAATGATCGCTTCCGGCTTGTACTGTTTTCAATTTATTTTTGTATGAGTACCTCCCTTGTCTCTCAACTAAATTTTTTGGCTGTGAATGGTTTCTTTCTACACATCTTAACACCTAGCAGAATAATAGGCAAAAGTAGATGCTCAATAAATATTTGTCACATACATGAGAATTGCTTCCAACTGGAGGAACCATGACAAAAATTGAGAGGAAAGGATATAGAAAAGTTTAACTTCTAATTGAAAAACCCTCTTAAAGTGGGAAAACAAGAACGTTTTTAACTGCAGCAAAAATAAAAGTTCAACAGGAAAGGAAATGTAAATACAGTAAAACACATAGCATTTGGAATAATATGTACATAATCATATGAATTTTGATTACGGAATTAATAAAAATTGTGATATGACTACTGGGAGGATGGTGGAGGGCAAAGCTGGGGATGTAAAAGAAAAAAGTCTTCATCTGCTCTAACAGGAAGTCAGCTGATAGCTGCTTAAAGTGAGAACCCAAGAACTAATAAAAGAATGTCATATGAAGATATGGCGCTTAATGGCAGAAGAAGCAGTTAACAAAGATACAAGTTATTGACTCAGGGTGGGGTGGGACTTGGTAGGAGAAAAGTGGGAGGGGATGAGGAAGGAGACTGCTGACTTTTCATTATAAGCGTTCAGTATTACAGTATTTGATTTTTAAACTTTGTGCTCCAAACACTTTGATAACATCAAAACCAAAATAAAGGCAGGCTGCTCCACCTCTCCTTTCTCTCTTTTGCCCTATGGACATTTCATTGCATCTGGTTGATGAGGGTTGTGCAGGAGAAGGGACATACGTCCTTGCTGTGACCATTTCCTGGGAGGAAGAGCCCCTGCTTCTGGTTAACCTAGTTCTTGTCTCCAAGCCCATTTCTCAGCCGACCACTGTCATGAATGTCCCCTGGGGGCAGGGAAGGCCCCTAGCTCTGGACAGCTTATGACTCCATGGTGGAGTCCTCTCTTAGAGGGCAGTGATCATGGGTGGGTGGGGTAGGGGGGAGCTTCCCCTCAGCGGGAGTGGGGAGTGCTGCCAGATTGTCCTAGGGCAGCTGCTGAACTGGGGGGTCACGGGCCTTTCTCACTGCCTAGTTACTCTCCCAGGCTTCCAGGAGGCAGCTCTGTGGCACTAATGGAGCTTCATTTCCTTGTCTACCAAGGAGGGAAACTGACAGAAGGTGTGGGACACGACCGCTGTGGGAGATGGTCTTTCCACCAGCACTATGACACAGCCCTGCGAAGCTTTTCAAGTCAGTGCAACTGGGGTTACTTTCCCAGGGGACTGACAGACAACAGCTGTTTTCTGCCTCGTTAGCACATCCCATTGTAGAACACAGGTTTGGTGTGATGGCCTTTTGGGAGGCTTAGTGCCTAAACAACAGGTAGGCTACTTTCCTTGGGTTCCACTTGGAGGGAGAGGAAAGGAACCAGGAATATGTAGCGCCTTCTAGTCCCGGGCATTTTACATGCTGCATTCACTTTCTCATCTGATCTCCACAGCAGTCCTATGAGGCAGCGCTATCCGGATCTCAGTTTACTGATGAGGAAACTGGGGCGTTAAGGAGCATCTCCAAGGTCGCAGTGTAAGGGCAGAGGCAGGATGTCGGTCCAGGGCCATCTGAATCCAAAGCCTCCTAGACAGCCTGCCACATGGTGAGCCGACTAGAAATCCCTCATCTGATCCAACTCTAGGGAGATTTTCTTGGTCTCCCAGACAGCATGAGCTGGCATACATTTCTTGTCAGTTTTTTTCTTTTTTTTTTTGAGACAGAGAGTCGCTCTGTGGCCCAGGCTGGAGTGCAGTGGTACAATCTCGGCTCACTACAACCTCTGTCTCCTGGTTTGAACAATTCTCCTGCCTCAGCCTCCCAAGTAGCTGGAGCTACAGGTGCTTAGAAAAACACAAATGAACCACCTTAGTGGAACCACCACATCTGGTGATTTTTTTTTTTAATGTGTATATATATATATATATATATATATATATTTCTTTTTTTTTTTTTTTTGGTAGGTATGAGGTTTAACCATGTTGGCCAGGCTGGTCTTAATCTCCTGACCTCAAGTGATCTGCTCATCTCAGCCTCCCAAAATGCTGGGATTACAGGCATGAACCACTGCAACCAGCCCACTGGTACACATTTTTTGTCTTCATTCATAATTGTAGTCCTGACACTGGCCTTAAGTGCCCAGGCTGGGGCCAGTCTAAGCTCCAGGCCCAGCTTCAGTGGGATATTGGCTCTGTGCTGGGTGTTTGGTGGGCTCAGGTCTGTTCTCAATCTTTTCTGCTCCCGTGTAAGTGATACCATGTGCTCGGGAGACAGCCTGGGGCTCAGGATATTGTGATTACAGAGGTAACATCATGGAGTGGGGAAGAGGGAGGACTCTGGAGTCAGCCAGGACTCTACTGTGTAACCCTAGGAAAGTTATTCAGCCTCTCTGGGCTTCATTTTCTCATCCAAAAAAAAAAAAAGAAAAAAAGAAAAAGGAAGGTTATGTGTGTCCCTCCCTCGTAAGGTTATTACAGAGGTTAAATGATATGCACAAACCAGCTGGCATGGCCTGCTGCACTGATGGTCAGGATTCTTGGTGACTCTTCTGGTTGTGAAGTGCTCCATCCAAAGGCTGACCTGGTTTGAGTCCATTAGCACACAGAGCAAAGCCACAGGGCTGCTTTTTCATTTTTATAAATTTAAATTTAAATTCAGTGGTGGTGTTTGTTAGTTTTCTAGCCCATTGATTTTTCTTTCACAATAACACTGGGGTTATTCAGAGCCTCCCAGGGAACGCCAGACTTCCAGGATTCTCGAGGATGACTGGAATTGTTTTCTACAGCGTGTTGCATATTTCCTGCCTTTATTTACAGAGTCTGTGCATTCTCCCCAGCTTCTCATGAGACACGTGCCAACTCTCCCCATCATAGCCTCAGCCCAGGGACCCCCTTATCGCTCTTGCCCTTGGCTAGCTGTCCAGGCTGCTGGTCCTCCTCTGGTCCCTGGGTCTGCATTTTCCAGGTTTCTCATCTCATTCTTAGGCGGCCGCAGTTTCCCGACATGAGGATGCTTGCCATTAGCATTCCTTTCCCCGTTTTCTAATTTCCCAGACTAATATCCTGTTAGCTAGGAAACTAGATAACGAAACTTGTTAAGAGTTATTTGTAAAGAGAAATTAGATTCTAAATGGCTGTTCCTCCCCAGGAGTAAAGTGCATGGATTTTAGGATATTTGCATTGGTGGTTTGATTGCTTTTTCTGCTTTTCTGCTCTGTAGTTTTTTGCAGTATGCCACGTCACTGAACCTGGAAAGCAGAGGTGTTTCTGGACTATGTTTTAGGAAAGATGGGCTCGAAGAAGTCAGGTTGACAAGGAAGAGCTATAGCAATCTTGGGCTCTGAAGTTCTGATGAATTACTTGCTATTGGACCACCTAATAAACCTCTGTACCTCTGTCACCAATTCTTTAAGGGCAATAATGATGCTACATAGCTAATTTAATCTGCTGTGACATGGGCTTTACATGTAAGATAATGCAGGTGGGCTCTTATTTTTAAAAATTATATATTTTTTATTTTATATATTTTTTGAGACAGAATCTCACTGTCACCCAGGCTGGAGTGCAGTAGCATGATCTTGGCTCACTGCAATCTCGGCCTCCCAGGTTTAAGCAGTTCTCCTGCCTCAGCCTCCCCAGTAGCTGGGACTACAGGCACCGACCACTGCATCCAGCTAATTTTCTATTTTTAGTAGAGACGGTGTTTCGCCATGCTGGCCAGGCTGGTTTCGAATTCCTGACCTCAAGTGATCTGCCTGCCTTGGCCTCCCAAAGTGCTGGGATTACAGGTATGAGCCACCATGCCCAGCCTTATCTGAACAATTTTGCAGTGAAATTCTCTGAACCCTGGGAACAGACACCTGGGCTCGCTCTTGCTCAGTGCTAAGCTAAACCCCGCCAGGGCTGAAGCACCACAGGACTCCATTCCAGTTAGTGTCCAAGCAGCACAGGCAAGCCAGCGGTGTCTCCTCTCTGCCTTCCCTGGGGGCAGGAATGCTGCTTCTGCTGGGTAAGTCCCCAGCATGGGCTCAGACACCCTTCTCATCACCTGATTTGCATTCCTGGTTCCATCTGTTTTATATATTGAGTCTTCCAAGATTTGGTTTAAAGAAAAGATTTCGTTGCTTAAAAAAACATTCTTTGCAAATCCTGCCCTAGAGAAGTCTAAAGTAGAGAGACCCAGATGGGTGCTGGCGCGACTCAGAAACTGGCCCAACTCTTGCATGACTGGAGACACTGATTCATAATCGCCACCACCCCTGCCCCAGTTTCTTCTTTGGGACTGTCGGAAGTACTCAGATGGGGAAGCTGAGGCAGGGGTCTGGGCTCTGAGCCACAAGCAAAGGGACTGCTGGTCAGGTGGTGGCTCAGAGGGAGCTGCTCTTCCCCCCAGAAACATTAGTTTGGTCTCGAAAGGCTGCAAGGTCTGTAGGCTCCCACTGAAGGCCCATGTGGAGCTCAGCCGCGGGCTGCGTCTGGGTGGCTGAGGGTGAGGGCAGCCTGGGGTTCAGGCCGGTGGCCAGCTGGATGCCCAGCCCACATGCTCACAGGCCTACGTGCAGAGGACTGGTCAGCCTCCGTGGTGAGCAGAGATGGGAAAGGCAGAGCTGAGAGTGCTTTATGAAATGCCCCCAGGCTTAAACAGAGAAAGTCAGGGTGACAGTCAGATGGCAGGAATCTGGTGGCAGAGAAAGATCAGGAGCCAGTAGGGCAGCGGATTCATGACAGGCAGCTCCAGCAGCACTGGGCTGCAGAGGCTGCATGCTGTCCCCGCGGGTGCGGCCTGTGCTCCCCCCTGCCCCTGCGGGAGCTGGAAACTGAGCGAGACTGGCCCGAGGCCTGCAGTGCAGGGCCAGAGAATGCTGGCTGGGCCAAGGGCAAGTGTGTGTGTGTGTGTGTGTGTGTATGTGTCTGAGTGTGTGTATAAGTGTGTGTATGTGTGAGTGGGAATATGTATGGGTGTGTATGTGAGCGTGTGTGAGTGTGTGTCTGTATATGTATGAGCATGTGTATGTGTGTGTGTGAATGTGAATGTGTGTAGGCATGTATGTGTGTATGATTGTATTTATATGTATATTAGTATGTGTATGAGTGTGTGTATGAGTGCACGTGTGTGTATGTGTGTGTGCCTGTGTGTGCATGTGTATGTGTGTATGAGTGTGAGTGCATGTATGTGTGTGTGTGTGTGTGAGTGCATGTATGTGTGTATGTATGTGTCTGTGTGTGTTTGTGTGTGAGTGCATGTGAGTGTGAGTGAATGCATATATGTGTGTGTGAGTGCATGTATGTGTGTGTGCATGAGTGTGTGAGTGCATGTATGTGTATGAGTGTGAGTGCATGTGTGTGAGTGTATGCATGTGTGTATGAGTATGTGTGAGTGCATGTACGTGTGTATGAGTGTGTGTGTGTATGAGTGTGTGTGAGTGTATGTGAGTGTGTGTGCTCTGGGGAAAGGGTAAAGATAAAGAGCACATGTAATTACACCCAGAAGCGGATCCTGACCCTGGGCCTCCTGGAGAGCTATTTGTTCTCTAGCCCCAACATCCAAACCATGCTTTCTGCTCCACCAGAGAGCTCTGGTGCCCACCTCTACGCCATTGTCCTATAGACAATAAATCTGAGCTAAGTTGATTGACACAGGTATCATGCCCAGGCTATAAACTTTGAGAGCAACACATTAGGAGGGGCTTAGAGGACTTCAGAGGCAGATATAATGACAGTGAGAGTCATGGTGGAGCCAAAACAAAACAAAAACACACAAACACAAACCTAAAATACATGACTAAGCTCTGTGCACCAGCAGAGGAAGTAGCAGCTGGATACTCACAAGATCACAGAGGAACCTTAGCGTCCAACCCATCTCCCAAGACACAAAGTGTATGTCTAGTGTATCTGACATGGTCATTTGGCTCAGACTTCTAGGGACAGGAACACAAGGACCACACGTGGCAGCTTGTTTCAGAGTTTTCCTTTATACAGAACGGGGAATTCCTTTATGGCACTCTGACTCTGGTTCTGTTGTGACACTTTGGCCTGGAGTGTGGAGGCATGGAAGCCTGACTCATGTCCGCCTTAAGCCTTCTCTTCATTCTCATGTGACCCAGGCTCCAGCTTTTGATATCCCGGCCACCCACCTCTGGATGTGTTCCTTATCCAGAATTTGATGCATTGGAGATGTCATCTATTAATTTTTCAAAATTAAAAAAAATTTTTTGAGACAGTCTCACTTTGTTGCCCAGGCTGGCGTGCAGTGGCACTATCTTGGCTCATTGCAACTTCTGCCTCCTGGGTTCAAGTGATTTTCTTGCCTCAGCCTCCCGAGCAGCTGGGACTACAGGCACCCACCACCATGCCCAACTCATTTTTTACTTTATTTTACTTTTAGTAGAGATGAGGGGTTTTACCTTGTTGGCCAGGCTGGTCTCAAACTCTGACCTTAGATGATCTGCCTGCCCCGGCCTCCCAAAGTGCTAGGATTACAGGCATGACCCACTGTGCCCAGCTCATCATGTATTAATTCAATGAAAGATTTCTGTCACATTGCCTAGAGGTTAAGAGCTCAAGTTCTGGAATCACAATCCTGGATTCAAGTCACAGCTCCACCACTTAGTAGCTGCGTAACCTTGGGTGAGTAAGTTACTTAACCTCTCTGAACTTCAGTTTCCTCTTTTGTAAAATAAAGATAAAAACAAAAGCTCCTTCACAGAGGATTAAGTTATATAGTGCGTGTAAATGACCCCCCAGAGTGCCTGGCATATGGCAAACACTTGGAATGTTGGCAGCCACGTTGGACTGATGGTGACTCATGCTGAGCTTGTACTTAGCTAAAAGCCAAGGGTCTTTTTCACATGTACTGCTGGCATTTATCCTTATTAGACTTCATTTTGTCAGTTTCAGCTCATTGTCTCTTCCTGTCCACATGTCTCATTCTGCCACCATACATTAGCACCATGCATTAGGTAGGTAGCGCATCCAGCTTAGCCATCTGCAAATCTGATAACGTGCCTTTTATATTTTCAACTGCAGTCTCACCCCAGTCTGATACCAACACGTTATTCAAGATTCTTTAGGTTCAGCTGTTCACCCAGCCTCAAGTTACTCAACTCTGCTTTCTCATGGAGCCCACTCTGGCTCCTCCGAGTGAGAAATTCTTTTTTCCCCCTGGAAATTTTGAAGGCTCCAAGGAAAAAGTTAAATTATATTCAATAACTTCTGTTTAAAAGACCAAGGAAATTATAAAACCCTTTAGAAAGACTGCGATAAAAAATTGGTCAACATGAAATTTGGGCAGTTGGCAATGTCAGTTTTACTTATCTAGAACATCCCCACTTGAGGAGGTGTATAAATCCTCCACAAGGCCAGAAAACGAGGCACCACTGCCTAAAGCATTCTGTATTTTTCCACATGGTTTATACTTTCTCTCTACTAAAATAGAAACTTCTCAAGGTCAGGAACCCTTCTGTCATTTCGTATCTCTTGTCGGCACCTGAGTCTGAGCTTCGCACACAACTCCTAATACCCACTTGCTGACAAAATATTACTGTAAAAATGAAATACTTATATGTACTTGTGATGGTTGACTTTGCACCTCGACCTGAGTGGACCACGGGGTGCCCAGGTCAAGCATTGCTTCTGGGTGTTTCTGGATGAGACTGGCATTCGAATCAGTGGATTGCCCTCTACCACGTGGACAGACATCATCCAGTCTGTCAAGGGCCTGACTAGAACAAATGGCAGAGAAAGCAGGAATTTGCTTCCTTTTTCCAGTCTCACTACCTGGGCTGTGACATCTCTCATCTCCTGCCCTGGGACTGGGAACTACACCATTGGCTTCCCTGGTTCTCAGGCCTTTGGATTCACTTAGAGTGACATCACCAGCTCTCCTGAGTCTCCAGTTTGCAGGTGGCAGCTCATGGGATATCTTAGGCTCCATAATTAATCAAGTGAGCCAATTCCTATAGGCAGACAGACAGACAGACACACACACACACACACATGCACATACATACACACACACATATGCTAGTCTTCTCTTGGTTCTGTTTCTCTGGAGAAACTGCAGAACACATCCTGCTTCAGGCAGTGAGAGTTCTGATATGAGATTCAAGAGGAAAGAGATGGCATTTTTATTCTTGTCACTCTCAGGGTACCTGTATCATCCCATGTTGGACCTGGTAGATCCAGAACTCAGAAAATATTTTTTCTAAATGTTGAGTGAATAACATGAGGGAACCCAGCCACAGTTCCAGAAACACTGCTCCCATTCACGTGCCTTCTTTCCCTCACTGGAGACATTACTGACACATTGTCAAGAAACACTACAATCAAGTGCGGGGAATGGAGGGCTGATGCAGGGCTGATGCTGGGCCACAGACGGGCCACACACAGGGTACATCCCAGAGAGCATGAGTCTTGGTGGGGAGAGCACATGTCTATGAAAAGTTTATATCTGGTATATCTGATGCACCATTTAAAAGATAAAGACATCAAATAGGCTCAAAGAGAACGGATCAACACTTTCAGCCTTTGGTCTTTGGAAGGGCTTCACCAGCCAGAGTAGTTGAAATGTAAGACTTCAAAGTTCAAAGGAATGGGAGAGAACTTTCCAAAGCGGAAGAATAACCCAAGTTGCAATAAGAGGATGGTGAAGAAACAGGTAGGTTTTGGGAGTGACAAGGATTTGGGGACTCCTAAAGAGCACCAGCCTAGCTCCTCCCTGTGAGCCCTGGCACATACTGGCATCACAGTGGTGCAGCATGTGTTTTCTTGGCAAATGTAACTGGCTCATAAAGGGCTATAACCCATGTCCTCTGCCTTACTGCCATTTCCCTCTAATCTGAGCTAAGAAGGTCAGCTAAACAGACTATATTTGGATTAAGCTGCTCCTTGTAGCCCGACTACTAACTATCGTCACCAGCCAAAGCCACTTCATCAGGCAGGTGGACTAGAATTTTTCACCTCAAATGATAAGATATGCTTTCTGGCTTCTCCAGCCCCCAGCAATAGTGACACACAGACCCTCCCTGGACAGTCTTCATTGACTTTTCACAGAGTCCTATTATCCTCGCAAGTCACTGCCTCTGCAGACTCTCCTTATGGGTTTGGGCTTCCTCTCTGGTCAAAGGGGCATCCCTCAGATAACTGTTGCCTGCAGCATCTCTACTGTGCCCTCCGCAGAACAGAGACATTGTCTGCTTGAAGACTAACCATGCTATTGGCTTTTGGGCTGCCTAGAGTGAAATACAAAGATTAGGTTTCTTAATACTTGTCTCACTTTAAAATGTTATTTAGGATTCAGTTCTTTCTAAACTTCATTTTTTTCTCCCCTTTACCCTCTACTTTCACCTCCTGCCCTTGTTGGTTTTACTTTCACAATTTTAAAGAGAAGCCTGCAGGACAAGCTTGTAATAGCTCTCTTAAGAAAAGTTACATTTAAGATTCATTTTTCCTTTAGGCAGACACAAAACCCCCTTATTACCTATTCTTTTTTTCTCACAAAAGAAGGGGGACAATTAGTATGGCTGCCTGGTGATTCTGGTCACAGATTAGCTTTTACATGGGTCCCCAGGATATTGGGGTTGTACCCATCTCCAGGAATAAAAGCACTGCTGAGATCTTTGGGATTCTATTATTTTTGGTGAGCCTGAGGCTATGGCTACTCAATGCCACACATATATGCGTGCATATATATATGTATGTATATAGATAGATAGCCACACACACACACACACATCTATCTATCTATATATATAGGGATAGCTAGCTAGCTAGCTAGATAGAAAGCAGAAAGAAAAGAAAGAAAGAAAGAAAAGGAAGGAAGGAAGGAGAAAGAAAAAGAGAAAGAGAGACAGAAAGAAGAAAGAAAGAGAAAGAGAAAGCAAGAAAGAAAGAAAGAAAGAGAAAGAGAGAAAGAAAGAAGAAAGAAAGAAGAAAGAGGAGAGAGAGATGGGAGAGAGGGAGAGACAGAGAAAGAAGGAGAGAGAGAGAGAGAGAGAAACTAAGACCAAAACAAACTAAAAAATTAGTCAGTTAAATCTATCCAGTAGAAAGACTTAAAGTGTTCATCGCAGTCAAGTACAACAATTAGAGGATCACCTAATTCTATCTTTGTACTTTCAAGAAAGTTCTGTTATCAATTAAAGCATCCACAGGCCCAGCTCTGTTCTTCCTCATATCACAGAAGGGAAGAGACTCACAGTTCTTAGTCATAACTCCACGTGTTCATAATCCCATGAAGCCACATGCCACTTTATGGAGTGTTTTTCTTATGGTGTAGTAATCCAGCATACACACCTTGAAATCTAATAGTTATGGGTTTGAATCTAATTCTGCTACTTTCAACTTTGTGATCTAGGGTGAGATTCTTAAATTTCTGGGCATACCTGTAAAACGGAAATATTAGCATGCACCTTGTAGAACCCTTGGGAGTATTCCATAACAATGTTGCGCTTCTGATATAGTGCCTGGCACTTAGTAGGCATTCAAACATGTGCTTCCTTTCCTCTTCCTTCTGTGCCTCTGCCCATAACTTCACCCCCATCTCTACTATTCAGGCTTTTTCATCAGAAACCCTAAGCAGAGACCAGGTGTTAATAATGAGACCATTCAAATGGAACCAGGTGTTACTGAATGAGGATCATCATTCATTTTGCTCCCAGATTCTGGCTTTTTTTTTTTTTTTTTTAACTTTTTCCCTAGTTTGCTCTGAAATTTTGCCACAATCTGGGCTTCCCACTGACAATTTCTGTTTGAGCTTTTGAGAATGCCACAGACAGTAAATGGAGAGGGCTCACTCTAGGGAGAGTGCAAAGAAAGAGCATGCAGAAACCTTGAGCCGGGGAAGAAGGAACAGAAATGTCATTTTTTGGAGGGGTAGATAAAAACATTGTCAGGGCCCAGGGAAACACGGTCTCTCTGTAACAAACATTCATTGAGCACCTACTGTATACAGGTTCAGCTTTCTAACGAGACACCCCCAAAGTGAGAGATCTGATTCCTGCCTTTGTGTGCTTATGGTCTAAATAGACATCCAAAGACTGAAAAGGATCAAGACCAGCTGGGTTTTAGGCATCAATCACACAGCTCCTAAAAGGTTTCAGGCTGAGGGAGCAACTGGATATATGTAATCAAGTAAGGCTTCCTTAAAGAGGCAAGTTTTGAGCCAGTTTGAAGGAGATGAGGATCATGAGTGCACGGGGA